CCACACACACACTCTCTCTCACACACACTCACAGACACACACACTCACACACACACACACACACACACACACCCACATACACCACACACACACTCTGTCTCACACACACTCGCAGACACACACACACTCACAGACACACACACTCACATACACCACACACACACTCTCTCACACACACTCGCAGACACACACACACACACACACACACACACACACACACACTCACACTCAGGCTCAAGTGGGCTCCCACCTGGCTTTCTGTTTCTTCTTCCCTCTTTTTTTAATTTTAGTTTTCAGAGGGCCTCCTCTATCCCAGACTAGTTTCCACTTATGCTGCTGAGGAATAACTTCATCTCCTCCTCTTTCCACTACTGAGTGCTTGGACTCCAAGCACGGCCAGCACACCCAGTTTATTCTGTACTGAGGATGAAGCCCTGGGCTTTGGTACCCTAGGCCAGGACTTCCCCCTTCCCACAAAGACACCACAACAGCCTTCCACTGCTGATGTTTTTGTCCCCAAGTTAATTCTGTTTATATTTATTTACTTTCTGTGTACTACTTATTTACTTATTCTTGGTTTTTATTAAGACAGGCTCTCTCTATGTAACCCTGGCTAACACATTCAACAAATTAGCCATTTGTATGCACCAGCTTATTTAGGCATGATGAAAACCCTCCCAGGTAGACCTTGATTTCCTGCTAAGTGGGTGGTGCTGTTGGCAGGTCACAGTCATGGTTTTGGTTCAGATCATCCCTATCCTTAGATAAACTCTGTCCTAAGAAAGGGTACTGGTAAGGTCTGAGACCCCAGAGTCACAGACAACTACTCAGCCGAGGTCCTGTGGGGTATGAAATGACCTAACCCCGACTAAAGAAAACCTCTGACCCAGCAGTTTACAGGAGCCAGAAGGAGGGGTGGGTGTTAGGGGCTGGAGGGGCTGGAAAATGGCCTCCCTTTCGGCTTCCAGAGTGGAGCAGTCCACGGAGTTGCAGAGGCATGGAGAGCTGGTCACCAGGGCCTCCGTGGCAGTATAGTTTCACCAGGGGCCTCCCCTGTAGGTTGATGCCTGTAATTCTCTGAGCAGAAGCTGGTCCCATGTGAGAGGCTGCTTGCTGAGGGTCACTTTGCTGGGGGAGCTGAGCCTCTGTGGATGGGCCTGCTGGCCTGTCCCCTGCTTCAGAGCTAGGTGCAAACACGCCGAGAAGAGATGAGCATGGGGTGGAAAGCATCCAGACCTGCAGAGGAGCTGCTAGTGGGGGAGTGTAGCATACCAGGGGCTTATAAGACCTCATTCCTGGGAGATGCTGGGGATGCTAGCTGGGTGGGCCGTGCCTATGGTTGTCCATGAATATGACCTCCCTGTGGTCATCCTGTTGTTCCACACGCTGCTTCCCCTTCCTGCTTCAGACAGCTAGCTTCTGGGAGAGGACTATGAAGGGAGGTCTGGCTGCATCCTGCATCCAAACTCCTCCACACACAGACATTCCCCACTGTTCCTCTTTCAGGTGACCCCACTCACAGCCTTGAAGTTTGCAGAGCTGACACTGAAGGCTGGCATTCCCAAAGGCGTGGTCAACATCATCCCTGGAACTGGTAAGAGCTGAGGTGGGGAAAGGGCCGGGGCTCAGAGCATCCATGTATACACGTGGCCAGAGTAGTGTGGGCAGGGCAGTGTCCATGATGAGCCTGTGATGGAGGAAGACACACTCTAGGGAGACACAGAACCTGGAAGGGTCTTAACTTTCAGTACCTCCCTGCTTTCTGTTTTGTTCTTGTCTACACTCTGGATAATCTATGTGGCTAAGGGATTGTCTGCCCTTGGACATAAATGAGAATTTATCTGTAGAATGTTATAGGCTTGGAGAACTTGGGGATGCAGTAGTATAACTTCTTAGTTTAGTGGTCTAGTTTGTAGACAAAATGGTATCATGAAGATTTTCAAAATCTGTTGGCAGAGTTGTATATGATATTCTTTTGTCATTTTGTCTCCTTTTACTGCGATTTCCCCACAATCAGCGCCTTCTGCTTAAGGTCTTGTGTTGATGGAGATGCCTATGATTCCATGGCCTTCCCTGCCTAAACATTTACTTTCAGCTTGTTTGCACCATTGAATCTTAAACAAGCTCCAGGGGACAGTATGTGTGATCGAACCTGGGGGCTGTTGCTCTTTCTTCCAGTCTTGCATTCTTTGATTTTTTTAAAAAAAAAATGTTTTTATTTTATTTGTATGAGCGTTTACCTGCATGTATGTGTGTACTCGGTGCCTATAGAGACCAGAAGAGGATGTTGGATCCCCTGGATCCAACTGGAGTAACAGACAGTTGTAAGCTGCCTCGTGGGTGCTAGGAATCAAACCTGGATCCTCTGGAAGAGTTGCCAGTGCTTTTAACTGCTGATTCATCTCCCCAGCCATGGAAATAGATTTTTTGCTCTATGTCTAGTATTTACTTATGAGTGAGTACATACGATATTTGTCTTTCTGTCACTCAGAATGTTTTTTTTTTTTCTAGTTCTGTCCATTTGTCTGCAAATTTTAGGATGCCATTGTTTCTTACCACTGAGTAGTACTCCATTGTATAAATGTGCCATGTTTTCTTTATCCATTCTTCAGTTAAGGGGCATCTAAGTTGTTTCCATTGTCTGGCTATTGCAAATAATGTTGCGATGAACATCGTTGAGCAAATGTCCTTGTGAATGTGCCTCCTTTGGGTATATGCCCAACAGTGGTATTACAAGGTCTTGAGGTAGATTGATCCTAATTTTCTGAGAAATAGCCATACTGATTTCCACAGCAGCTGTACCAGTTTGCACTCCCACCAGCAATGGAGGAGTGTACCCTTTTCTCCATGTCCTCTCCAGCATAAGCTGTGTTTTTGATCTTAGCCATTCTGATGAGTGTAAGATGGAATCTCAGAGTTGTTTTGATTTGCATTTCCCTGATGACTAAGGATGTTGAGCAGTTCCTTAAGGGTCTTTTAGCCATTTGAGATTGTTCTATTGGGAATTCTCTGTTTAGATCTGTACCCCATTTTTTTAATTGGAGTATTTGGCTGTTTGATGTCTAGTTTCTTGAGTTCTTTCTATAATTTGGAGATCAACCCTCTGTCAGATGTGGGGTTGGGGAAGATCTTTTCCCACTTGCCCTGAGGCATTTTGTCTTGTTGATTATGTTCTTTGCTTTACAGAAGCTTCTCAGTTTTCGGGGATCCCATTTATTAATTGTTGCTCTCAGTATCTATGCTACTAGTGTTTTATTTAGGAAGTGGTCTCCTGTGCCTATGCGTTCAGGGATATTTCCCACTTTCTCTTCTATGAGGTTCAGTGTGGATGGGTTTATATTGAGGTCTTTATCCATTTTGACCTGAGTTTTGTGCATGGTGATAGATATGGATCTATTGCCGCAAGTATTCTTAATTGCTGAACCATCTCTCCAGTCGTGTTCTTTGCTTTTTCATAGATGACTTAATCTATTTATATTTAATGTTATTTTGCTGTAGTTAGATTTGACATTTTACCTTTTACTTTCTGTCTTCTGTCAATCTTCCTTTTACTGCTTTATTGAATGGTTTCATATTTTAGTTTTTTATATGGAATCTTGCTGTGTTACTAAAGATGGTCTCAAACTCCTGGATTCAGTGGTCTCCTGCCTCAGCCTCTTGAGTGCTGAACTACAGGTTTGAACTATTTACCTGACTGACATTTTAGATTTTTAGATAATGATTTTTTTTGCTTTCTTTGTGTGTGCACACATAAAATTACATACAGACATATATGTGTGTGTGTGTTTGCTAAACTTTTTAAGATTAAAAAAGATTAAGACTTAATGCATTTCTTTTTCTTTTCTTTTTTGAGAACTGGAACTCATAAAGATTGCCTCTGCCTGCTGAGAGCTAGTATCAATTATTTTTTGATTATGTGTTTCTGTGTGTATCCGTGTGTGGGGGTGTGCATACGAGTACAGGTGCCTATGGAGGCTATAGCTATGGAACCTCCCTGTGGCAGGAGTTAATGGTGGTTGTGGGCCACTAGGCCTGGGTTCTGGGAACTGAACTCTGGTCCTCCACAAGAGAACAAGTGCTCTTGTCTTAACCACTGAGCCATCTCTCTAGCCCATCATGTAGTTTTTTGTTTGTTTTTTTGTTTTTTTGTTTTTTACTTCTCTTCCTGGCAACTACTCTATAGCTTATCATTTACAACTTAATTCATGAAAATCTACTTTATCCTGACTCTGGGGAAATAGGAAAGTCACTTTATGTAGCTCTTTGGCCTCCTTTTGTGCTGTTACCTTTTGCATATTTACATATGGATCATTAGTGCAGTCATGTGGCAACGAGCATAGCCTCAGATACTACTTTTTGTCATTTCACTTCTGATAATGAAGCTGGAAGAGCTGGGCTGGCTGCTGCGTTTCTTATCACCCCCCTCTTCTCTCTCTCATGGCTCTGAGTCTGTCCACCATGACCTTTCTCTAGTTTTCTCCCCCCTCCTGTTACTGGTGTGTAACCAGACACGTTTCTATCTGTTTTAGGTCCAAAGTGAAACTGCAGATGTTTGAAGTGTGCATCATACTGTTTGAGTAACCGTATTCTTGGTTGTTGCCCCCACCCCAGCCACCCCTGAATTCTAACCACTGTCAGTTATTGATTCTAAAGCACCTGCTCTCATCTCTGAGAGCTTCCTTCAGGGTTTCTTCTGCTTCTCACAGATATTTCAGTTGCTGTCTGTGTAGCCATGTCCTTCTTTTCTCCTTTTTTTTTTTTTTTTTTTTTTTTTTTTTTTTTTGTGGCTTTGGAGCCTGTCCTGGAACTTGCTTTGTGGAGCAGGCTGGCCTGGAACTCACAGAGATCTGCCTGCCTCTGCTTCTGCCTCTCAAGTACGGGGATTAAAGGTGTGTGCCAGCCATGTCCATTACGTATTAGAAACTCTTTCAGCTTATTAGATGTACAGATTCGTGTTTTCTCAAAGTTTTCAGCCATATTCATTACAACTGGTTTGCACCTTCTCCTTTCTCCTCTCCTTTGGTGTTCCTATGGTGTGTGTATTGCTATAATTAACAGGGCCCTGCTTTCCCCAGAGGCTCTGGCTAATTTTTTATCACCCCTTATTGCCCTCTGTTCTTCATATTATGCCATCTCTGTTAATCGGTTTTCACTGATTCTTCTGTCAAGTCCTCTCTGCTGTTGGGCCCTTTGGTTTAGTCATAGTAGTTCCTGCTGGGTTTTCTGTGCTGTGCTCTGTGGCTTGCCTGTCCTTTCTTTGTGGCACACCTCAGTTGTTTCTTTGCGTGACTTTTGCTTTCTTTCTCTCTTCTTTTTTGCTAAATGTGCACATTTTAAGCAGTATTTTGTAGCCACTTTGAACACTGCTTCCCCTTCCTTTTCAAAGCTTGTTTTCCCTCGCTTGCTTGTTTAGTGACTTCATTAAATACTTTCAATGAAATGTTTCCCAAAAGCTTGTAGCTTCAATATCATTTCTTGCAGGGTTGAGCTGGAGCCTGGCAGCCACAGCCTCCTGGCAGGACAGCAGTCTCGGCAGGGTTCACTTCATTCCATTTCCTTGGCTGCTGTTAAGCCGTCTTCCTCTGTCAGTGTCACTTAGCTTTTTAGCCCATTGACTGCAGGCAAGGTGCTCATGTATGTATCTATGAAATGTTGTCTGTATATATGTCAGTGTACCATGTGCATGCCTGGTGCCCAAGGAGGCCAGAGGAGGCCATCCGATCTTCTGGAACTGAGGCTAGAGATGTGGGAGCCACCGTGTAGGTGCTAAGAATCAATCCTGGGTTAGTAGTACTCTTAGCCATTGGCCATCTCTTTAGTCCCTGCTCATTTATTGACAGTACCCCATGCAAAAACTGTTCTACAACTTTAAGCCCTTTGAAGGAGTAATTTTATTGTTGTTGTTTTGTTTGTTTTTCTAGACATGGTTTCTCTGTGTAGTCCTGGCTGCCCCGGAACACTCTTTGTAGACCAGATTGGCCTTGAACTCAAAGATCCATCTGCCTATTTATCCAGGGTACTGGGGTTAAAGGCATGAGCCACCACCACCCAACTAAAGGAGTAATTTTTTAAAGATTTAATTTGTTATTTTTAATTCTGTGTGTGGAAGGTATATGCCCAGAGCTCAGAAGTTGTATATTTCCCTGAAGCTGGAGTCACACGTGGTTGTGAGACACCCAGCTGGGTGCTGGGAATCGAACTCAGGTCCTCTGAATAAGCAACCGGTGCTCTCAATTACTGAGCCATGTCTCCCGCCTGTAAAGGAGTCATTTTTAACTCCAGCCTTTGAAGTTTGAAGGGCTTCTCCTTCGTCCTCTTGGGTGTCATAACTTATTACCCCCTGGAGCCTCCTACTCCTTCTAAGTGGCATACCCTCACATCTCTGTTGTTGAGAGTGCCCGTAAGGTTCCTCTCAGCAGTGTTGGAGTTCTCTGTTCTTATGGACAGCTTTCCTCCTGGTCAAAGTCTCTGAGACACAGCTTCAGACGCCAAATTCTGTGAGGGAATGGAGCAGGGTAGATGATGTCCTGGAGTGTTCACTTTGCAAAGAGCTTCAGGAAGAAGAGATCCCCAACCCCTCAGCCAAGTGGCTGACCCTGGCAGTGAAATAATACTGCATGTAGAAGTCAGAGAGCAACTTACGGGAAATTTCTCTCCTTTCACCACATGAATACCAGGAGTTGAGCTCAGGTGGTCAGATTTGGCAGCAGGCACCTTTATGCACTGAGCTATCTCTCTGGTTCTATTGTGTTGTGTTTTTGGTTTTTTTTTTTTTATCATTCTTAAGTATGAGATCATTGCAGTTCCAACATCTCTTTAACTGTATAAACACAAAACAATTCCATTATTTGCCAAGTGTGTTTTTAAAGGTTGTTGCTCCTCAAGTTTCTCATTGCCCTTATCGCTATCAAAGCACACAGCCATGTATCAGTATGACATGATGGCTGTGGTAAAGTCACAGAGATAAGGGCATTTCTTTGATGACACATGCTATTTGTGGGGTGGCACAAACTGTAAGCTCAGTACTTGGTAGGCTGAGACAGGAGGTTTACTGAGTTTGAGACCACCCTGGGCTACATACACAGCAAGACCTTGCCATAAGTAATGTTATTGCTTTTATGCTTGCTTAGTTTCTGTATATCTGGGGAGGATTCTCTGCCTATCTTTTACCTGGTTTTTAGTGGGTCATTTGTTTTCTTACTGTGGTGTTTTGTTCTGTTTTGTTTAAATACATTTCAATTTCCACCCCACCTGAATGTGAACTCTGGCTTGTAGACTCAGCTTGCCTTCCTAGAGCATGAAAAGCCCCTGCCTCCACGTGTGCTCACATTCAGAGGCACAGGGCTTAATACTTCAGCATTGTCATCTGGAGGGACAGATGTCAGTCCACAGCATGGCAAGGCCCCATGAGCCCCCATCATGGGCACCATGTAGAGAATGCGATGTAGCACCCTCTGGTGGATGTGAGAGGGACAGGTGGCTGTGCCTTGCCCAGACCTCAGAGCCTTCCTGACTTCCTTACCTATCCTACCACAGGCTCGCCGGTTGGCCAGAGACTCTCAGACCACCCTGATGTGAGGAAAATCGGGTTCACAGGTTCCACAGAGGTGGGAAAACACATCATGAAAAGGTAGGGGGGGCACAGGGAGGAGAGGTCACCCAGGCCGTGGAGCCTGGGTATAGATGATGCACTCCGTAAGCTGGGTCCTGCTTCTTGGTTTTTAGTGGGCATAGCCACTCACAGCAACCATGTTAATACAGATGCTGAGTTTCCCACAAGCCCTTGAGAGGCCCGTGGGGCTTCCCAGTGGAGGCCACACAATCCAGGGGGTCCTGGTACTGTGTCACCTCCTAAGCCCTGAAGTGCTTGAAGTCAGTGGCTCTGACTTGAGATTGCATGACTATGAACTAGACACCGATTTTAAAAACTCAGCACACACTAAAATATACCCGTTCATAACTTTTGTATTGATTACAAGCTGACCTAGTGATGTTTTTGATGTTAGATTAAATGGAACCTATTATAATTGGCTTTCTGTATCCATGGTTGCCACGTGGCAGATTCAGACAGCTGTGGATTGGAAATATTTGAAAAAAATCAATTTTGCCTATGCTGACTGTGTGCAACCTTTCTTTTACAGTTACTTAGCCAATGCAAGCATTCACAGCATGCTCACATGATGTTAGGCCTTGACTTCATGTAGAGAGGGCGGTGGGTGCAAGAGGATGGGCTTCTTCTGTGCATAGACAATATTGTCCATACCGAGCCTCAGCTCGAGGGCGTTGGCATCCACAGGGCTCTCCTGAGTCACCATGGGCCGTGCTGGGGCAGGGGAGACTGTCCCCTTGGGTGGTCTGGAACAAGAAGACTCTTCTCCCAGGCCATGCTTGGTACCTACTTGAAGGTGGCATCACTCAAGTCTTGCGCAGGGACACATCTTTCCACTTGGTCACTAGAACCCTGAACTATCTGCCCCTTTCTGGCCACAGTCACACCAGCAAGGGTGCTTCTCGGGATACACTCGATCTGCTTCCCTGGAGCACCAGCTGTGTGCTAAGCCCTGGGATGTCATAGGAACCAGACAAATGCACGCTGCTGTGGGAGGCCCTGTCTTCTCACAGATGGGGTCGCTCACATAGCAGGATCCAGCATCTAGCACACAGAGAGAGATGGGGGTCATAGGGGAGGATCAGAAAACAACCCTAATAAGGGGACAGAGTGGAGCAGAGGAGGGCGGCAGTGGGTGTGAGGGGCCGGGCCTGGCCGGGCTGTGAGGGGAACAGGGATGGGCCCAGTGATAGACAGTGAGATGGGTTGTGGGGAGACGGTGGCTCCACCACGCTCTGGACTTGCCTTGTCTACCACCTGCAAGCCCCTGTGCTCCGAGCCCCCTGGCACCAGCCCCAGTCCTCTGTTCCCTCCAGCTGTGCCCTGAGTAATGTGAAGAAAGTCTCCCTGGAGCTGGGCGGGAAGTCGCCCCTTATCATCTTTGCTGACTGTGACCTCAACAAGGCTGTGCAGATGGTGAGGCTGGGCTGGGCAGCGCAGGGATGGGGACAGGTGGGAGGAAGCGAGGGAGGCACTGGGCCAGAGGCAGAGGAACAGCAGTGGGGGATCTCTCAGCTCCCACGGCTAACCTAAGCTGGCATAGCCATCCATGATGCCATCACAAGTATAGGGAGCACATAAAGAGGCACCCTTGGGGCAAGGATGATGTGTGCCCTCCACAGTGTATTCCCAGTATGTTCTAACTGTCGCACCATTAAACCAGCTGCACGGATTGGGAGCAGGAACAGGCTAAATGTCTGGCATGTGTGGAAAGCAAAGTGTCCCTCAGGCATGACCCTGCTGACAGCCACCACTCTGCCAATGACCCTGTGCACACGTGCCCAGCTTTCCACCTACGCACTGGGCAGCCACAGGTTAGGCCTGAACACACCCATGCACCCAGGGCCTGAAAAGTACCCATCTGTGGTGGCCTCTTAGATCAACCTGACTCAGGACTCAGGACAGTGACTGCATATGGTACATGCCATGGGAGTGGGAGTGGTTTGTACCATTGGTATTGTCACTCATGTGCCTTGGTCCCCTTTCCACTCCTATGTAAACAAATTAGTCAGGCCCATCCAACCAGGTCTCCAACTATCTTAGCAGCGTGACTAAGCCTCTCTCTGCCTTGAAGGAGGGCATGGCACCTAACAGAGCCCTAAGAGGGAGTCCAGCCTTGCTCAATGGGAAGCTGAGGGAGGGCAGGACCTTCATTATTCATGTCCCCCAGTAGCCCAACAGTCCAGGACCTTGGCTCAACTCAAAGTGATGCTGCTGCTGAGCCCTGCACATAGCTGGAGGTCTGTGCTAACTGCCGGGCTGTATCGTGCAGACCAGGAGAGCTGAACTGGACTCTGCACCCCACCCCTGGCCTCCTGCAGTGTCCTGGCAGCTTTCTTGCACTCCCTCAGGGGCTTCCCTAGAACTAGGGCTGTCCCTCTCAACCCAGCTCTCTAACCCCACTAACATATAACCTGGTGCCTCTCCAATCAAGTCTCAAGAAGACCTGGTACCTTTTGAGCCACCCAGTGAGCCTACCCATGGGCTGGGGGTCCAGGCAGGCTCAAGCTCACCCCACATATTATTCTTTGTTGTCACGTGAATAGCATCCTTCTGTGGTGATGGAAATGAGGTCTCTGTGTGGCTCCCTCTTCCCATGTGGCATTGTGTCCTCACTTCTCACTTGCCTCCACCGCCGGCTGAGAATTGCACAGGACATGTGTGCCCAATGCTGGTCAAGCCTGATCCATGGGAGGAAGGCAGCATGCAGGCGCACCCCGTCTTCCCCTGAAGGGTTAACAGTCCTGGTGGGCAGCTGGGCAGAAGCACACTTGGAGATTTGTGACCTGGCATTTTTGCGCTTCTCTGAAGGGCATGAGCTCCGTTTTCTTCAACAAAGGGGAGAACTGCATTGCAGCAGGCCGGCTCTTTGTGGAGGACTCCATTCATGACCAGTTTGTGCAGAAAGTGGTAAGTTCCAGGCTAGAGTCTGAGCTGGGGGTGGGGAGCAGAGGGGCAGGCTGCAAGAGAGGTGGTGGTGCTGAGTGAGGAGTGTCTGAGCACCTCTCACTGGGTACCACCTGCCCATTCAGAGGATCCTTGGGGAACTCTCTTGAGTCTTCAGCTCAAATTGACATGATCAAAGGGCCTGTGGACTGAGGGTACCTCAGTGACCTAGAGCTTGCCCAAACTGTGGTCCCATCCTCAGCATCACCAAAAAGGAGGCATGTTCTCTGAAAGTGGAGCCTAGGATGAGGACCTAGTGTACAAGATTCACAAGGGCTGACCTCCTTAGGTGAGTCCAGAGGAGGGACCAGGAGAGGACAGGGCAAAGGACAGGATAGCAAGGACATGGTCTCAGGACCCCTAGCAGCATCCCTGGAGCAGGAAGTACTCTGTACAGTTGCCCAGAATCAAGAGGCTAGGCTTTGCCCCAGGCCCCAGTATTGGGCAATGGTTGCTGCAAGCTGGCCATGGAGTAAGGGGGTCAGCTTCTGCCAGCTTCCAGTGACCCAACAGGTGCCAAGCAGTGGCTCCCACTAGAGTTACCAGATAATAATGAAACCCCAAAGGGTAGACTGAGTCTGGTTTCAGGAACAAAGTGATCTTCTTGGTCCTGGGCCGCTGTTTTATTTGCTTGCTGTTTCTCTGTTTGTGGTGCTGCAGCCCAGAGCCTTGACTAATGAGATGATTGTTCTGCCCCAGCCCCAGCAAGGAATGTCTCTAACTCTTGACCTTTGGATTTGCTAGTGGATTGGCCTCATTATGACCAGCCTCATCATGTGAGGTTGACAGCTATAGACTGACATTCCTCTAACATAAAACCAGAGAGGGAAAAACTTCAACTGTTAGAATAAAGTCATGGGAGGGACATAGGCTGGTCCAGCCAGAGCCCCCATCCATGCTCAATCTGAGGCATCTGAGGCCAGAGGTGTCCCTGTTGGCAGCTGTAAGCTCACCCTGGGTCCTGAACCCAACAGAAAAAATGCAGGGATCCTGAAAGGTGGCGGTGGCAAGTCTAAGTGTCCCTTTACATACACTGTGGCTAGGACACCCTGAGAAGGATGAGGTGACATGGTCGTTTAGGAGCATTTCCTGGGGGAAGGTCTGTGTTACAGAATACCTGAAATAAATGACTCCTATGGAAGAAAGGTTTGCTCTAGCTCACAGTTTCGGGGTACATGGTGCTGGCCCCATGCTTCAGGCCTGTGGTGAGGCACAGTGTCATGGTAGAGTGCACTACAGACCAAAAATTCTCACTTCATGGCTCTGGGAAGCAGAAGAGAGGAAGGGGCCAGGGCCCCAATATCTCCTTCAAGGGAACAACTCCAATAACCTCACTCCCTCCTGCTATGAGGTCCACACATCCCAACAGCCCCCAAGCTGACAATCAAACCTTCAAAATATGCATCTTGGGAGGACCCCAGGGCTAAACCAGAGTCGTCAGGAATGTGTCTAAGTATGAAAGGTGACAGGGACAGGAAAGAGCTGAGCAGCTTTGCTGTGTGACAAATGACACATGACACCCAGTAGTTGAGTTTACTTGGCTCACAGTTCATCCAGACTAGGGTGAGCCCTGAACTGAATAAGGGTGGAGACAACTTTGCCTGATCCTAAGACCCCAGGTCAGGACCAGGCCATACAAGCAAGGGACTGGGGCTGCTCTCCCAGAGGCCAAGAGATCTGTCTTATTGGCCGTTGATTCTGTCCAACTATGTTTCCTTTCTTTATCCTACATCCTGACTCATTTTTTAAAAAAGATTATTTTGTGTGTGTGTGTGTGGATAGATGTTTTCCCCGCATGTATGTATTTGTACAATACATGTTTGGTGTCTGCAGAGTTCAGAAGAGGGCATTGACTTCTCTGGAACCGTAGTTACAGATGGTTGGTTGTGAGCCTCTGTATGTGTCTGGGAACCAAGTCTATTCCTCTGGAAGAGCAGCCAGTACTTTTAACCCATGAGCCATCTCTTCAGTCTCCAAGTCATTTTCTGTCCTCCTCACACCCAAGCTCCAGAGTCATTACATCACCTCCTCTGTCACTCCCTGGTGATACCCCAGGTCCATCTCTAACTACAAAGCCTAGCCTCACTTTGAAGCTGGCTGGAGCAGAGGGAAGGCTCCCCACAGGAGGCCACTTTCAAAGGATTTATTGAAGCAGAAGAAAATGAAAGCAGAGATACGTGGACTTGAGCCTTGAACCCTTCTCTCTGTTCAGTGTCCCTCTGTCTGTCACCGAGACTACTGTAGTAGATAGGCTTGGAGTCAGTGTGGGAAAGCCCCATTAGCCTGGAAATGGTTTCAGGGACCTGTGGCCAGTACAAAACTGTGAAAGTGTGAAATGTCTCAGTACCATCATAGGATACCGTGGTGGCATTAAGCAGGACCTGATCTGAGGACTTTCTGCAGGTGGAGGAGGTGAAGAAGATGAAAATCGGCAACCCCCTGGACAGAGACACCAACCATGGCCCGCAGAACCACGAGGCCCACCTGAAGAAGCTGATGGAGTATTGCCAGCGCGGTGTGAAGGAAGGAGCCACGCTGGTCTGTGGTGGGAGCCAAGTCCCAAGGCCAGGTCAGTCAGAGTTCTCCAGCTCACTTGGGTAAACTGAGGCAGCAAATACTAGGCCTCTGGTTTCCAGCCCAGCCTTAACTGGACATAGCTGAAGGCCAAGTACCTGTGTGGTCAGGATCCTGGCCTCCAGCTCAAACTGGAATCGTGGACGTAATGGGCCGTGGCTGTTTGGTTAATCTCTGGACCCAGGTCTGGAACTGAAATGGTGAGGAGTCCAGAACATTCCTCAGCGCTGGCATTCCCTGTTGTGCAGGGTGTTGCTGTTGGCGTCACTCCGACATGGTGTCAGTCTCCTCGGAGTTAGTTCAAGGTTCTCCCTCTTTAATTTCTCTTCTAAACAAATGTTTTGTGACTTCTGGGGAGATATGTACTAACGCCTACTCACCCCAGCTAGGGCACCAGTGACCACCCAAAAAAGAGATAGTCCTACCCATGTCTAGCTTATTGAGCCAGTGGATTTATTGGGGTCACTCACAGGAACATGAATGGCTCAAAGGCAGCTGCTCCAGAGTCTGGGTGACACCTCCCAAAAGCTGCATCCTGGAACACTCTCAAACAACCTGGAGGCAGCTCTGCTGCCATCTCTTCTCCCTTTTCACTGCCTAGTGAGTAGGTGACAGGGGCCGTTTGTATCTTGTGTCATTTTCTTGAGTGTTATGAGCCACCTTCCTCCCTCCAGGGAATGTTTTCGATCAGAGCAAATAGCCAGGCAACAGGTAGAAACGCCACAGTGTCCCTCCAGCGATGGCCAGCTGCCCTTAGCTAGGAGTGAGCCTTTACCTGGAGCGGGCAGTCCTTGAGATGGTGCAGCTCTTCATAGGCACATGGCTCAGGTCACCCATCCAGAGCTCTTGACACAGCCAGCCTTAGATACTATCACCTGATTGGTCCCAGACACTTGGCTTCAACAATCAACTCACTGAATGTCTTAGTTACTTTTCTATTGCTGTGAAGACACCATGACCAAGGCAGCTTACAGAAGAGTTTATTAGGGGCTTACAGATTCGGAGGGTGAGTCCATGACCATCATGCCGGGGAGCATGGCAACAAGCAGGCAGTTACGGCATTGGAGCAGTAGCTGAGAGCTCACATCTTGAGATCACAACTCTGAGGCAGGAAGAGCTAACTGGGAATGACATGGGCTTTTGAAACCTTACATCCTGACCCCAAATGCACACCTCCTTCAACAAGGCCACACCTCCTAATTCTTCCCAAGAAGTTCCACCAATTGGGGACCAAGTATTCAAATACATGGGGGCCATTTCCATTGAAACCAGCAGTGTCTGACCCCAAACACACTTGCTTCTCTGGAATCTACCTATTTCTAGCCACCCAAACCAGGAAAGCAAAAGGAACATGGATGGAACCTTGTGCTATCTACCCACAGTGCCACAGCTCCACACCCTGCCTGGCTTTGCTGTCTGTCTTTCACACTCTATAAGGAACCCCACACAGAGGAGGCTTTCACTAACTGATAGAAAAGAGGAGGAGAAGAAGGGACACACCACTCTTTCTGACCCCTAGATTTTAACTCTCCCCTGGTTTTGTTAAATCTGGCACCTCATTTATGCCTTGGCTCTCCTACACCCCTGCCACCTTCTGTATCTAATCCTGCCAAGTGTCCCTGTGAGCCACCGATCCTTTGTTTATTCACCTTCTGAGAGCTCTTGGGTGCCAATGCAGCGGTGCCCTCCTGCTGCAGGGGAAAGTTCCCTGCCTGCCTCTATGGCCACATTCGCAAACTTGCCCTTTACCCAACCTGTCATGTCTTTCATTCTCTCTGGATGTTTCTCACATTCTGCCATCTGTATTTGCTGTTCCTCAGCTTGGCAAACAACTCCCCAGTGGCCCTCCCAGAGAACAACTTATCATTTAGCTCAAGTGGCATTTAAGCACAACCTTCCCTGTATCACCAACGTGGGAGTTCCTTAGGGCTGGGGACAGTATGGCAAACCCTAGCAGGGGCTAGGTGGCAAATTTTGGGGTAAGAACTGTTCACAGAACAAGGAGAGGGATCCAACGGGGCCTGTGCAGCCCCTAGGAACGTGGGGGCAGCACATCTATTCCTCTGAATGATAGAGTGGAGAATGTTCTAGATCCCAATCAGGAACAGGACAGATCAGGGCTGACTCTCCATTTCTCCCTGGAAGGCAGAGGATGAGGCACCTGGGTCTATAGTGTACCTGTTAGAACCAGAGTTAAACAAACTGTGAGCGCCAGGCCCTGGCCAGCATAGGGAGGAGACAGCCAGGGACCTATACCTTCTATATGCCTCAGGCCGCTGTCTCCCCTACAGGCTTCTTCTTTCAGCCAACAGTCTTCACAGATGTGGAGGATCACATGTACATCGCTAAGGAGGAATCCTTCGGACCCATCATGATCATCTCCCGGTTTGCTGATGGGTATGTGATCCTCCATGTCTCTCAGGGCTTTTTCTCTGTGTGCCTGGAGTCTTGATATCAGCTGTAAGAGATGGTCCATGAGAAGGAAACTGAGTCAGTGAAGAGCCTGTACACAATGCCTGGGCTGCCTGCAGAGGCCTTTTGAAGTACTTGGGGCTCCCTTTGCCCTCCCTTCCCTGGGCCTGGATGGCTTCCAGGCCCAGATGAACAAAAGTCAATTTCTTTGTATATCCCAACTTCCCTGTGTTTGCTCTCCAAAGTCTCTCTGGTATTACATATAGCCTGCCAGGTCCTGTTCTCATGGTGTCCTGATAAGTACTAAATGAGCACTAAACTAGCCAAATGGCCTGGGACAACTGTGGCATTGGGTCTGACTAGTGAATGAGTCCATGCATCAGGTTGGTTGGATAGAGTGAGCCTGTCTCAGATCTGTGCTCCATCTGCGCTTGCTTAGTACAAAGGAAGTAGTCACGCTTACCTGGGCTTGGGCTGTCTCTCCACGGTAGCCTTGGATCACTGGCCTGGAGCCTGGGTTCCATGGAAGCCAGCTGGAGACAGCAAGGATACTCAGGAGCAAGCCTCAGAGCACACGCCTTGGCCTGGGAGCCATCCCGGCCATCAGGTTAAAGAGAAAGAAGGGTCCACTCACAGTAGAGGGACCACAGCTCGGTGGACACATTTGACCACCCACACCTTTTCCTGATTCATTTTTTTTCAGGCAAAATGACACCTTTGTCTTCACCTTTCCCAACTGATTGTCACGATATGACTACCGTTACCAGCTTATGCTGGCTGTATTAGACTTACAGTCTCCACCAAGCAGGCACGGCCCCAGCTTTTAGGTCCGATGCCTGCTGACTGCTCAATCCACCTCTGCCCAAAGCTGCATTTCTGGGCTCTCTTCCTGCATGAGGCCCCATGCCCAAATCTGCTCTGTGAAATACTCATGCCCCTGCCCCTCCAAGTCTCTCCACTCTACTGTCCCCTTCTCCAGTCTGGTCTCAGCACAGATTTTTCCTTTTAGGGTCTCATGGCTAATGAGCAAGGGGTTAGACACTTTGGGGAAGCAGACTCTGATGTTGCCTTGTCCCAAGTCCAACAATGGGTGCTTTGAGCATCCCTCAGGAAGTTATTGGGTTTCTCCCACAGGGACATGGATGCCGTGCTATCTCGGGCCAATGCCACAGAATTTGGCCTGGCCTCTGGTGTCTTCACCCGGGATATCAACAAGGCCTTATATGTCAGCGACAAACTCCAGGCGGGCACTGTGTTCGTCAACACATACAACAAGACTGATGTGGCCGCACCCTTTGGAGGATTCAAACAGTCTGGATTTGGCAAAGATCTGGGTAATCAAACCTTGTCAGTGGGGCTGCCTGTCAAAGGTCACCAAGTGCCGGGTTCTGTCCCTGGTGCCGGGGGTGTCACATTGAGCAAGATAGCTGGTAGCTGTTTAGTTCTTGCTGGGAAAAGGACACTCATGGGGCTGATGTCAATACTGAGACAGCAGGCAGCAATGGAGAGAATATATACAGGAGATTCCAGTCACAGGGAGGGGAGGAAGGTAACTTCTTGGCTACAGATAGCCAGCAGGGCACCCATCCCACCCCCTCTACCACCACAAGGTAGCAGGGGCCAGAAAGGTTCTAGATAGCTGCCCCACATTGCTTCTGCATTCCCCTTCCACACTGGAGCCCAAGCCCATAGCTTACTACAGGGACTGCCTGGATTTATCCCCAGGGCCTTGGTGTCTCATCTATGGAGAGAGTTAGGTCGCCCACAGCTGTGCTCATCTCAGGGATCCCCAAGAAGAACCATGTAAAGCCACAGGTGTACCAGCAGTGTGTGCTTTCTGGTATTTCTGGTGTACCAGCAGCATGTGCTTTCTTGCAGGAGAGGAGGCCCTAAACGAGTACCTGCGGGTCAAGACTGTGACTTTTGAGTATTGAAGCCAGGTCTCTGTGGTGCTTCTCCTGTATTCTGTTGCCCTCCCCCCAGGGACCCTGGCCCCTGTCTGGTGGCTCAGGACCCTCCTGTCCACAGCACCACTCCCTTAAGCCTCTGGAGCTATCAGCCTGTGCCCCTGCTGGTGACAGGACACCCTCGGAACAATCAGAAGTGGCTCCAAGTGGAGTGGGCAGTCATGTCCCGGATGAATAAAGATATGAGCAGAGACAGTTTGCACTTTGTGTCACCGCTCTGTCTGTGGGTGCCCTGGATGGTCCCAGAAGGAACAGTCACCCTGAGTCCCGTGTATATAGCATCACTTGGCCTTCAGAGAATGAAACTCCTTAGTGGGTTCACAGGAAGAAATGCATGTGTCAGCACACACCTCCAAAGGCAAGAGCTGAGATGGGTGTGAGAGGCTGTGGAGAAGAGGAACTCCCCAGAAGCAGGAAATGGGACTTGGGGGGCAAGGCCTGGGCCATGAAGCAGCCCAGTGTCCTCAGCAAGGACCCTGGTCCTCTCCAGCCACTCAGTGGTCTAGGGCAGTGATGATGGCAGCCTGGGGCCTGCAGTGGGAACTTCACCCTGCCTGGCATCTAAGACCTGGGCTGAAAACCCCTATCTTCTACCATCTGTATTTCTTATCATCTTACACCACCCCTGCCAAGAGCACAGCCCCTGCAAGTCTTCTGCTACCTGTGTGCCCACCTGCCGGTGCCCAAGGCCCTTTTCCCTGTACCCTCATCCAGAAGGTCCCACACACCACAGACTTGCCATTGCTTTGGTTACCTAACATGCCCATTCTCTTCCTGGCATGCCAATCACTACTACCTCTCTCTGACTCTGCCTCCCAGGGTCCAAAAGCTTTCAAAGGCTTCTCTGTCCTTCCTCAACTCTCCTGGCCAGGTGGGAGTGACCTACGTCAGCCTATACTGGTGAGGGAAAGATTTCCACCAGGCCTATTGGTATCCTGGCCTTCCTCCACATCCCTGCCCTTCCCCTAAGCACAGTGCAAGCCCCATAATGACATTTTGGTCAACAGGAAGCCACATATCTGATATAGGTCCCAGGTGACAGCAGTGGGTTTAAGAATTCCTATCACCTTTGATATCATGAGTGATGTGATGTAATCACGTTGCTCCTGGATTTGGGGTGGAGCTGTGGAAACCCCACTGCATAGTATGAAACTACAGAGATTCAGAGTCGCTGTCACTGGCCATGATGTATTCACTAAGATAATCAGCGTCAGTATACTCATTTTTTAAAAAAAGATTTATTACTTCTTTGTGTGTTTGTGTGTATATGCACATATATGCAGGTGCCAGATGAGATGAGAAGAGAGTATCAGATCCCTTGAATCCAGAGTTACAGGCAGTTAGTTGTAGGCTGATAGACATGGGTGGTGGGAATCAGGCAATTTGCATAAGTCTGAGCCATCTCTCTAGCTCATGCACTCTTTGACATGCACAGTGACAGCATTGCCTGACAGCACAGTTCTTGGAGCTTATCCCAGTCTCAAAGTGACATAGGACAGTAGATTGTGTGACCCCCCACACACATGTGATCACTGGTAGTGGCAATGGTAACCACAATAGCTTGGCAAGTGCTATGTGCCATGCAGGCTTCTAAATCCTCTCCTCACATTTGTACTGTGCATGATGCGGTCCAGGGGAGGAGGATGACTAGCCCACCGAAGCAGAGAAGCTAGCTTGCTCAGGGTCCTGTGGCTGCTATCAAGCTCCTTTTCCTTCCCAAATCATGAGACCCTTGAAGCCCACTCTGTGCAGTGACTCACTCTGTCAGAAACCCAGGTCCTGAGTCTCTTGGAATGGGTCCCAGGACCTTCACTTCTAAGTAACAGCTATGGGACACCAGTTCCTAATGGGAAATCCAGACTATCCCCCTTGTGTGGGTGCTGTAGTCCATGTACAGGGTGAGATGGGCTATGCCTAGGGCTCCCTGTGCTGAGGCTGTAGACTCTCGGGGGTCTTCTTACAGGTCTATGAAAGATGTGTGGCTCCCTCTGTGAGGCTTGTTCTGGGTCCCAGTGTGTGTGTGTGTGTGTGTGTGTGTGTGTGTGTGTGTGTGTGTACGTACAGTCATGTGTGCATGAGTGTGTGCTAAGGGTGCTTCTAATTGTTTCTTTCCTGCTTCCCCAGCAGGACCCCATCCCTGCCCTGGGCATGCCCAGCCTTGCTTCCTGATGCCCACTGTCCATTTTTAAGTGGGATAAGGACATATTGCTCTGCCCATTTTTAAGGGTGTATTTTGGCGACACTAAATACCACTCCATTGTTTTCAACAACCACCTCCCTTCCGTCCCTGAATCCTATTTTCCTCACATCAGGGTGGTCTGAGAGTCTCTGGCCAACCGGCGAGCCTGTGGTAGGATAGGTAAGGAAGTCAGGAAGGCTCTGAGGTCTGGGCAAGGCACAGCCACCTGTCCCTCTCACATCCACCAGAGGGTGCTACATCGCATTCTCTACATGGTGCCCATGATGGGGGCTCATGGGGCCTTGCCATGCTGTGGACTGACATCTGTCCCTCCAGATGATAATGCTGAAGTATTAAGCCCTGGGCCTCTGAATGTGAGTGCACCTGGAGGCAGGGGCTTTTCATGCTCTGGGAAGGCAAGCTGAGTCTGCAAGCCAGAGTTCACATTCAGCTGGGTGGAAATAGAAACAGCCCAAGTCTGCAGCCTTTACCACATGCCCCACAGCCATCTAAAAAGTCTTTGTGAGGCAGGAATAGCTCATTGGGAAAGCAGCCATCTAGGTGAGTGAGGTTCTGGGTTCTATCCTCAGCACACATGTGCACACACAACCATAATAATCTGCAGCCATCAAGTTCTAGCAGATTGTATGCATTCTATGTAACATTTAAAATATGTCACAGGGTTTATCATCCTGTAGTGGTTTGAGAGAAAATAGCCCCCAAAGGGAATGGCCCTAATGGGAGGTGCCGTCTTGTTGGAGTACGTGTGACCTTGTTGGAAGAAGGGTATCACATTTCTTTCTTTCACCAACTCACTTGCTCACTACAGACAGCCTTATTCACTAAAAGCCATGGCTTTAGGCCAGACTTGGAATCCCTGCTCTGCTCTGGGGGTGGGCTTTGATGTCTCCTATCTCAAGCTACACCCAGTAGTGTCTGTTGCCTACAAGTCAAGATGTAGAACTCTCAGCTCCTTCTCCAGCACCATGCCTGTCTGCCTACTGCCATGTCCTGACATCATGATAGTAGACTAAGCCTCCGAACTGTATGCCACCCAATTAAATGTTTTCTTTTATAAGAGCTGCCATGGTCATGTTGTCTCTTTGCAGCAATAGAAACCTTAACTAAGACACCTCTTGCCCTGGCATTTCTTCTTTTCATATTCTGCTGCCCTCAAACATTAGATAATTCAGGTCCTTTGCAAGCTCCTAAGGAGAAAGATCCGTGTCCTATGAGGAGACCCTATGTACTGGCTCTCCCAGCTGCCCTGGGATACCCTCCCCTTGCCAGCTCCTCCTTGTGTGCAGTCAGCGAAACCTATCTTTAGCCTCAGGTCAGTCTCCTCAAGGCCTTGGGTCAGTCCTGAGAGGAGGGGGTGCTTAGCTGCCCGGGTGCTGTCCCCGAAGATTGCATCGAGTCAGGTCTCCAGAGAGCAGCAGTACTTACGTGGGAGCCATCCCCACGGTGGCCCCACAAGCTGGCCAGCTGCTCCCAGCTTCCACCTTCCTCCTCCAGAGAGACACAGCAGCAGTGCTGAGGCCACCACAGAGTCCACACTGAGAAGTGCCGTAAGTCTTTCATTGCCCCTAAAGGTTAGGCAGTTCGGAGCTAGTCCAGGACCCAAGGAAGAGCTTGCTAATGAGCCAGGAGCCTCCTAACCTTTCACACCTGGCACTGCCACACACTCACTGATGAGCAAACCTTGGTTTCCTGTCCTGCAGAAACTGCAGTGCCTGCCCTGTGCACCCCAGGCTTTCATGGTGAAGTGGACCACCACTGTGTCAGTGGGTGCTGTGGTCCAAGTGCTATGACCATTGCAGTATAAAAATTTTGCTCGTGCTTATATTTTTGAAAATTACTAGTGGGTTACCCATGAGACAGCTTTGTCTTCCTGGTAGCACTCAGCCACACGTACAGCTGCCAGGAAGGGCTAGGGGTGCGTGTAGGGTGTGGTGAGCTGCTCTGGCCTTAGCCTAATGCCGGTCAGGCTGGTCTCAGCTGTCTGCAGAGATCCCTGGGAGGCCAATTTGCCTGACAGGACAACAGTGAAGAAGGATTTCCCCATGTGTATAATGAAGGCCAGGGATGGCATTGTGCCCTAGATGGACAGGCTCTTGGGATGAGGGTCATCCTAAGCTAGCTCTTGGGTATCAGGAGGGGAGTGGTGCAGGGGCTTGAAGCTTTTCTAACTAATCAGAAGGCAAATTTTGTTTGGGGGAATTTTCTTCTCATTTTGCATGGGAAATTAATATGTTTGGTTGTGAGCCTAGCCTTTAACAGCTGAGTCATCTCTCCAGCCCATGAAATTAATATTTTAAATTTAATGTTTGAAAGGAGATGACAGGTGTGGTGTTGCATAGCTGTAATCACTGCACTTAGGAGTCAGATTCAGGTTTCGTGGGTTTGAGGCCAGCCTTGATTACATAGCAAGTTCCAGGCCAGCCAGAGCTACATAGTGAGACCTTATTTCAAAATAAAAAAGACAGATAATCCACAGGATAGTCGTGTGTGTGTGTGTGTGTGTGTGTGTGTGTGTGTGTGTGTGTCTGTCTGTCTGTCTGTATGTATGTATGTATGTATGTATGTCTGTGTATGGAACCCTGGGTATCCTGGGAAAGCACTGTAGCACCGAGTCCCATCTCAGCCACGAGCAGTCACCATTTAACAGGAACTGGATAACAAGAGCAGCCATATCCATCCATCCATCCATCCATCCATCCATCCATCCATCCATCTTCCTTTCATAAACTCACTTGCTCAGGGCAGACAGCCTTATTCACAAAAAGCCATGACTTTAGGCTCAGGCCAGACTTTAACTCCCTGCTCTGCTATGGCAGTGTATGTAGCCTTGGGCAAGTAGGCACCTCTAGCCTCTTGGCTTCCTTACCCTCATGAAAGGGCATCAGCTCTGCATAGCCCAGGCTGCATGAAGGTGAGTGGCAGGCAGAGGACATAGTACAAAGTCCTGAAAACTGCTTTCCCCCTTTGTCATTGCACCTGCTTATTTGCTGATGTCTCAAAACCCTTCAGAAGCTGAGCTGACACCCTGCTCTGGCCCTGCTTGCCTCTGGCTACCTCTGTCCTCAGTGACTCTGGAGGGTAGCATCCCCAAGGAGCACTGGTTACATGTGAGGACTGGCAGATGCTGGACTTTAGGTATCCTGCTCTCTGCTTTCAGGTGGGTTACCTCTAAGTTCCCCCCAGAAACCCCTGGAGTGGCTCTGGGAGGTCACCGTGTAGGCCTGTTTGTCGTGGACCTCCTGCTTTCCTTTTTTGCCTCCCCTCTTTACTCTCATGGGGCTTTCAGTGTCAGCCTTCATGCAAAGCGTTCACACTGGAGTCCTGTCTCAAGGAGGAAGGGCTGAGGGCCAACGTTCTCTCCAAGACTATGACACCAGTTACTTGGGTTCCCACCATGCTAGCCCTGCCTCCCTATGGTTCTGCCACCTCCCAACAGCACTTCAGTCTGGAGATCAAACCCTTGTTAAACCTTTATGAAACCTCCAAAACTAAGGGTCAAAATAAAAACCCTTTTCTCTAAGTTGATTTTGTTAACAGTAAAAGACAGCAGACCAGCATGAATCCGAGATCAAGGTGCAGGGATGGTTATTTCTGATCCCATCTCTTCCTCTTCCTCTTCCTCTCTATGTCTTAGCTCCATGCACACAGGGAGAATGGGCTGTCAGGGTTCTTCCTCTTCCTGGGGGGACTCCAGTCCCATTATGATCGCATCCTATGACCTCATTTATTCATTGTTACCTCTTTACATAAGCCCTGTTGACAAATACAATCGCCTTGGGGCCTCAGAAATCAATGTATGTATTTAGACAACGTGAGCAACTCAGACCTTAATTTCCCCGAACATGTTTTCTATGTTGTTTTGTTCGTTTGCTGAGGACAGAATCCAGGAATCGGCCTCTCTAACACTGAGTTGCATCTCTCCAGCCCTTTACATACTTTTCTGTGCCAGTTGAATTTCTCTAGAAAACCATAATCTTTCACAGCGGGTTTCTGCAGATGCAGTTGGCTGCTTAGAATCCAGCCAGGGCTCAGGATTCCTGAACCAGCAGAGAGCAGTAAGTGGGGGCACAGGCCGGTTTGCGGGAGCTGGTGTCCACCGAGATTCACCGCTGCTGGGTCTTCCAGGGCTGTGTCAGCCTGGGCAGCCCACAGCTACCCAAGCAGGTGAAGAGGACCCGCCCCTTATCCCTTCTGCAAAGGTCTGAAGTCATTTCCGAGTCAACCAGCGATGCCTGCAGAGGACTGGTAATTACCACTAGATAAATATGAAAGCATTACAGCCATGTTGAAGGACAGAACTTGATGACACATACCGAAGTGTTTAAAGGTGCAATATCTAGAAATGTTAAATTGAAAACAAAACAGGCAGATAGGGACCCCGAGGAAAGCTGGCCCTTGTAGCGAGCTTCTGTAGACCAGTCGCACTTAGCTCCGCCGCCCGGCCCCGCCCCTGACCGTGGCCCCGCCCTACTTGGGACCTCCCAAGTCCCGCAGAACCCCTCGCCCCCGCCCCAGCGGCCCCGCCTCTGAGACGTGTCATTAACGCCTACAGCACTCAGGGTGCATCACCGCACACCCCGCTGTAGGCTCGGCGAGCTGTCCTGTGTTCATTGGAAACCGCTGGGGCTGCCAAGGTGGGCGTCTTTGGGAGTTAATTGGATACCTCAGTCCACCGGACCCTTACTAGAAGGCTTCAAAACCTGGGTTCTCAAGCTTCACCTCTTACGACCTGGCCTCGTCCACAAAGCCGGCCCACAAAGCCCCTCCCACCAGGTGGCTCCGCCCCTCTGTGACCCCGCCCTTCTGTCCGGGCGCCTGGGCAGGGCGGGGCTGGCCCTCCTGCCGCCCTCCCCGCTTCCTCCCCCCCGCCGCCCCCCCCGGGGCCCGC